CATCGTCTCGGCATTCTCTTCTACACGACTCATCTGCTTCTGAACAATGCAAACAGCACTGAATGTACTCAAAAGCACGCCCGCGAACACTCGCTCCGCCACACATAGCCGGCAACCCGCTTCACCCCACGATACTTATCACATCTTGTCACACCGATTCCAAGATAAGGTGTGCTTCTGTGAGCAGAAACGTTCCGCAAGCAGAGCTTTGATTGCAAGACTTTACCCAGGCTTTCAAGCAAAGCAGCCCATGTCCAGACCCATCAATCATGGCAAGCACAGCCATAGAAAGACAACAGATCTCTTCCAGCCCTGTCTTCTCAGCATGCTTTTCCCAAAAGTGCATGCCCATTCCGGCCCCCACTGCGCCGGTGGCATTTTGCCTTCCTTGACCGTCGTGAAGACAAAGCGGAGGAAAGAAAAGTCAAAACACCACTTGGCACAAAGCTTCAGTGCCTTTCAAGCAAAAACAAACCGACTGTCTGACGGGCGTGCAGGGTTCCAGACCAGCTTTAAAAGTTCAAGGTTCCAAAATTCAAGGGCTCAAAGATTCCAGAATTCAAAGTTTAGGCTTCCAAGCTTCCCGAGAAGGCTCAAGGCCACAAAAAGTTGTCCAAGGTTGCAAGCTTCCGGGCTCCGGGTTCCAGAGCTCCAAGGTGCAAGGTTCCAGTGTTCCAGAGTTCTAAGGCTCCAGGCGCTCCGGGCTTTGGCGCGAAAAATCACACGATGCACCACTAGCAGGCTCAGAGATTGAAACCCAACACCATTGCTGTTGGGAATGGGTATACCATCACACTGATGCGGGTAGTGGCCGTCGCAAGGCGACCCGAAAAAAAGCTCAGGCGGGAAATGACAGGCCCCAAATGCATGCAATTTGACTAGTCAATTTCAGGAAGTCTTTCTTGGCCCAAGAGAGAAGCGCGCTTCTGGAGGACTTCAAACTGCTGAAATGAAAGTGGATAGAGTCAGCTGGGTTACTGCAAAGGTTTACGGTGCGCGAGCAGACTGTGGCAATACACATCAGGCAGTATCATGGGTAGCTTGCACGCAATGGTAACCACGTGGTACAGCAATTCCTGGGCGTATTGACGGGATACACCTGTGCAAGGGTTGGATGGTGGATGCAACTGTTAGAGGTCCGCCAGGTGAAAGCCCCTTTGTAGCCGTAACCTGAGATGTGACACACTCTTCATTCTCAAAGAGACACTAGCCCAGCAAAAGCCCAAATATGCCGCTCAACCGCTGATATCGCCAAGACTATGCAATATAAAACAGGGACAGGCCACCTATGATACCCTATGTGTGCAAACTCGAAATGACAAGTCCTAACCTCCTCTTTCAGGATGTCATATCTGCAGCTCAACACCTCGGCATTTGGTAGGAATGACGACGTCTGTTTGAGCGTTGCACATTTTTTGATGTGTAAAAGCGTCTATGTACCAACAGCACAATGCCACATTCGGAACTTGGGAGAGTTCTGCTCGCTTCATAGTTGCCACAATCTGTCGCTGGCTTTCATCTGCGGATGCATCAAAGCTAGACAGTTCGCACTCTTACGCACTGTTGAGGGTGGCAAAGTCCTGAATCATTGGATCAACCTCTATGTACTCTAACTTTTCTCTTCGCATTTATATACAGTTGTTTCACTAGTAGGTGGAGGGCAGTGCAGACCCTGTCAACAGCGTCTCAACACAGGTGGGGATTTGATGTGCATGCATGAGACTGGCAAGCAATCAGGCCTTTGTTCTTCATGCGGTACTTCCCCATCAGAATGCCCAACCTGAAGCAGTGCATCAAAGGCTACTGTATCATCCGAGTCCAGCAATGTCCAGCATGAGAATTGGACATTCGGCAGTGCTTCTCATCGAGAATGGAGTTCTTGTTGGCGTCACCCTTGCACCAAACTCTCGGGCCAACAGGTCGCATGACAAAACAACGGGTATGACATGAAGTACATCAGTGCTTCCACCTCACAAAATACTACATGCGCACAAAGAACGCTAACCAGTTACTGGTGAGGTATTCCTGCATGGTGCATGATGTGCATGGTGTTCCAAAGGAAGGCACCGGCGCAAATTGTACAGCAGCTTCACGTCTTTTGAAGTAGACCTGACATTCAGAAGCGTTGCCAGGCAAAAATTCCAGCAACACTGTCGGCCTCGTTCATGGAATCGGGCATGTCTTCACAAGCCTGATTAGCTTGGAAGGCACCTGCAAGAGCCTCCGTGATTGTCATGTGGCTAGCCATGTCTTTGTCAGCTGAAGGGGGGGAGCCCTTGGCAATACATAGTAGATCGCGGCAGCTCTGCAGGAGTGGATCATTCGACGACATCTTGGCCGCGGAATCCAACTCAGCTGCCTTCGGCAAAGCCTTCCAATGCAAGGTCACTAGGTTCTTTTTGGCCTCATGTTTTTTTGACTTCGGACTTTGCCATGGCTTTGCAAGTTGGCATGGGTGGCCCCTTGCACTTGCCTTTGCCCTTGCCCTTGGCGGCCTGCGCACCCGGCATTTTGATTTCAATGACCGGTATTTGAAATCCTTCAGGCCCATCACCATCACCAGCAGCGTCACTGCATTGATTTTGGTCTGTTTCCCTTTGTTCGTTGGGCGAGGCTTCTTCTGAGCCCAGTGGATGTGAAGGCTGTTCAAGCCCATTCACCCCATGCCCTGTGTGAGTTTCTACTTCCTGAACAGTATTTGCGCCCTGGGTTCCTGCCTGGCATTCGAGCGGACGAACGCCAAAATCTTCCTGGTTCCCAGTTTGCCCTGACGATGAGAGCGCGAGATGTTCACCTTGGCTCTCCCAATATCTTTGACCATCTTGCCTTTCTCTCTGAGCACTCTCCAGCAGCGTCTCACATGGAACACTCTCCATCGCACGTATTAACTTTGATGCCACAGCTATGTCTCTTTTGAGATTGTTGCACTGCTGAAGATCCTTCAAGACCGTCCCTCTTTTGCTCCCAAATACAACCTCCTGCCATTTCATCTGCTCTTCACAAAGCAATGAACCATTGTCTTCCTGATAGCTATCTTCATGCAAAGCTTTCCTTTCCCTGTCAACACCCTTGTACAGTTGTTCGATCTGTGTCAACAACTCTGCAATCGTTGCATCTGATTCCTGAGCTTCTAGCAAAAGCTGCACCTCCTCCTCTTCCAAGCAACCAAGCAAATCAAACTGGTCCAACTTTACTTCCATGGCAGCCAAGCAAGCATTGCATTGGGAAATATCAATTCCCGCCAAAAAACTGGAGAACGCCAGCAGGCAGTATACACATTACCACTCATTGAAACCTTTTCAGTTCTGTGAGATCATTGTTTTTGGGTTGGTGATACTCTGTACACAAACACGTAGAGGACTTGTGACAAGCAGAATCCAAACACATCAAGAGTGTGATTTCATGGACTGCCTTCCCAAAGGTGTCTCTATGTTGAAAGCTTGAACACCAAGAAAACAAAAGATTCTGACCCTCTCACACACAACAGCATTTTGATCTAGAAAGCAGAGCGTGCAGAAAGATTGTCCTGATCGCTCTGTTTCGGAATGCGGACCACTTCGATGCTTTGTCGAAGATTAACAATGCACAATGTGCATTCTGGCTATGAAGTGAACCCTCAGCACGCCCATGATGGCCTCGGATTTCGACAACACAAATTGTTGTGTTCGATCATTTTTTCGACACGATAAAAATTAGGACGTCCTGCATCGTATTTGTACATGTCATGATGCATCGTCCTACGCCATTAGTTGCATTCTTGGATGTTCCGCACAACTTTACAATGTTTGACATATTTCAAAGAATAGCTGAAAGCAACTAGCTGGATGAAGTGTTGTTGTTATCTGTATGTATACATACTTATATATATATACATATTTACACACATGTGTAAAAAATAGTAACACGCAACACAAACATAAAAAAAACTCAAGTGAATGGCCTTGGCGCATCGTACAGCTGCTATGACTTGAGAAGGGAGGGGACGAAAACCAGCCCCTGTAGGGATTGAGAAGTCAATAATATATTATTGTTGTTATAGGGTGAAGTCGAAGCTACATATATATATATATATATTTCTTACGTTTTTTAGCCACAGGAAAACAGAAGGCAAACATACGCAAAGTTTCACATTGCGGTTCGATATGAATATGATAAAGCCTTTTTACACAAGACCTCCACTTCCCCCATCCATTACTGGTCATGGGATAAACTTGGATCCCATGCCCTTGCACAAATGTCCAACTCCCTTGGGGTGCCCTTTCTCTTCTGGTCTTCACGCCAAAAAAAGATCAAAGAAGGGCACCCCCAAGCAACTATTCCAGGAGGAGTTGCACTCAACCTTTCCAATCAATCTCCCGACATAAAAAAGCTAGGTCAGGCACCGTGACTATAATCAGTGATTTCAACTCAGCTACTAGCAAGCGCTACTTTCCTGTCCTACCAGTGGTCGTCCTGTACCTGGACTCACACACCTGGTCAGCTCACCTCAGCAGATCTCCTGAGCACTTGATGCTAATGGTGCACTGCTCAGCATCATTTGCATCACTCGCATCACCAAGACCCCTAAAGGCATCGAGTTTCACTACCTTCTGCCTCTTTTTCGCTCTCCCCACTGCCTGCGCCTTACCCGCTTCGTTCGCTCAGCCACGCCTATCGGCTGGCTTTCGTAATACAGTTTGTAGCTGCCAAAGCACACAGACTCTGCCTTGGTCTCCTCCTTGACAGCACCTGGCGTATGTGCTGAGGTCTTGCTCTTTGCACAATACAAGTAAAGCTCAAGACCCAAGGCACCAGGTGAGTCATCTTGACCAAGCAACCTCCCAAAAAAAGGCTTTTGAAGTTTGAGCTGCATCATGTTTTGGGCACACCGCGAAGACTTCCTTCAAGAAATCATCACATGCTGAGCAACGAACCAAATAACGTATGATACTCTATAGTCTTCAATGCCATCCAACACTTCCGATGCCTCGCAGCAGACAAGCAAGACAAGCACACAAACAAGACTCTAATGCCATCAATGAAGGTGTGTAAAAAACACAGAGGTCTCTGATGTATCCGATACTCTGATACTGACACTCCGATACTGACTATTTGATTTTCTGGTCCTGGTATGAGATGCCATGTGCCACTACTAAAAATGCCATGCCATAGTGCCATAGCCGTACACACACACCCCATATTCTGTAGTGCAAGTATGGTTTAATCAACATTTGGATCTTTAGATTAGAGTCATCTTACTTTCACTTTGTATTTGCTTTCAAAAGAGGTGGTCACGCGGCCACACGCGAGACACAACCCAGGAATTGAACAGGGGCAGGAAGAATCAACAAATGAAAACCATCTCAGATAACATCACGACATTTCATTCAGTTCAATGAATTTGTTTGTGTCTACTTCTGCTGCTGTGTTTCCAACCGACGGCGGACACACATGTGAGCACACAAAGAGTTCACAAAGACCCCACTGGCCAGAGAGCCAATCTGCAACTTCTGGTGACGATGAAAACAAGAAACGGCACTGATTCAGCAGTTTTGTTTGCAGCTGCTCTTCTCTCAGGTTTTGTTTGTAGTATATAGCTCTTTTGTAGTCACTTTTTTTGCGACTGCTGGTGTTCTTTTGGTATCTTTCCCCGTGGCTGGAAAGAATATCATAACTCCAAATATTCCAGTAGAACGTGCCAAACAAATACTAAATCGGAAAAGGACTGCCAGAAACACATATGAAGGACATGTTGACTGGTAGCATGTGGCGAGTGATTGAGTTTCATATAGAAGACTTGACAAATGGAATGTGTATCATTGTGTATCTATTTGCATATACAGAGATGCCCTCTTTCGATGCTGCGCTTTTCTGGGCGTGGCTAGCTGCAATATTTACGAAACGTTGGTTTGCAATATTTGTCTGATTCTATTTCCCCACATCACTATGTGGGGTTCTTGCTTTTCGCTCTGCGCCCGCCGCTCCATGCGCGTCCGCCACTCCGTCCTGCGCCCTCCGCCGCCGCCCTCTTGCACCACTCATCTTACACCACTCATCTTACACCACTCATCTTACACCACTCATCTCCCACCACGCATCTCACACCACCCATCTTACACCACCAATCTTACACCGCTCATCTTACACCACTCGTCGTACACCGCTCATCTTACACCACTCATCTCACACCAGACACCACTCATCTCACTCCACAGATTTCGTGGCAGGCGCAGTACACAGAGCCTGCAAGAGGACTGGATGGACGCGAGGTCGCCGCTGGGTCGCGGTGTTTGTCGCGCAGATTTCGCCGCAGGCACAGCACTTGGTGAACCTGGAGCGCAGATTTCGTGGCAGGCGCAGTACACAGAGCCTGCAGGAGGACTGGATGGACGCGTGGTCGCCGCTGGGCCTTCGTGGTAGGTGAAGCTGGAGCGCAGATTCGTGGCAGGCGCAGTACACAGAGCCTGCAGGAGGGCTGGATGGACGTGTGGTCGCCGCTGGGCCGCAGCTGCCTCTTGCGCAGATTTCGCCGCAGGGACAGCACTTGGTGAACCTGGAGTGCAGATTTCGTGGCAGGCGAGTACACCATGTGGAAGAGGGCTGGATGGAAGGGTGGTCGTCGCTGGGCCGTTGTGCAGATTTCGCCACAGGCACAGCGTTTGGTGAACCTGGAGCGCAGATTTCGTGGTCTGGACTGCAGATTTCGTGGCAGGCGCAGTACACAGAGCCTGCAAGAGTGTCGCGCAGATTTCGCCACAGGCACAGCACTCTGTGTGACAGGCGCAATAGACAGAGCCTTGAGGAGGAGCGGATGGACGCGTGGTCGCCGCTGGGCCGCGCCAGATCTGGCACAACACTTCCTGAAGCTCGAGCGCAGGTTTTGTGGCAGGCGCAATACACAGAGCCTGCAGGAGGAGCGGATGGACGCGTGGTCGCCGCTAGGCCGCTGCAAGTTGCGCAGATTTCGCTGCAGGCACAGCACTTTGTGAACTTGGAGCGCAGATTTCGTGGCAGGCGCAATGCACAGAGCCTGCAGGAGGAGCGGACGCAGATTTTGCGGAAGGCACACCACTCGCAACACACCATTCATCTCACACCACTCATCACACACCACTCACCACACACCACTCACCACACACCGCTCATCTTACACAACCATCTCAAAACACTCATCTCACCACAATCCACTCATCTCACACCACTCATCACAGACCACTCACCATGGCAACACACCACTCACCACACTCCACTCATCTTACACAACGCGTCCCACACCACTCATCTCTCGCCACTCGCCACACACCACTCATCACACAACACCCATCACACACCACTCACCACACACCACTCATCACACACCAGTCATCTCACACCGCTCAAAATACACCACTCATCTCTCACCACTCATGACACACCACTCACCACGCACCACTCATCACACCACTCATCTTACACAACTCAGCAACCCTCTACACACACCACTCATGATCATCTTACACCACTCATCTCACACCACACACC